GATAGGCAGCCATATTTCAAATTTCTAAGACTTTGCCCTTTTTATTTATAGCATTGTTCACTCATAAATTCCTCATTCAGTCATTCTGTGTTTGTTGAGCATCTATTTCCTTTCTCTTTAGCTCTCCTCAGTACACTAAGACATAGAAATGAATCAAAGACATTCCCTTCTTTCCAGAAGCGCATGCATTCCATAATATGTGGACCATAAAGAAAGACAGGCTGCTACAAATGAGGGCACTTACTTCAGCCTTGGGAAGCAAGGAGTGACCAAGGGGAGAGTTTTGTTATTTATTTATTTATTCATTCATAATATATTAGCAATATTGTTTACAAGGGGAGGTTTTTGGAGAAGATGATGCCTTAAGATTGTGAGGAGTTAAGAGAAGGATCCACAGATTTGCTATGGTGTCTACCTATGGAAAGAAATAGTTCAGAGGGATAAGGCAACAGTAAATGAAATTATTAAAAATATCCTAAAACAGAAAGTAGTAAGGAGAACATTCTATGAAACAAATCACCAAAAGGATTTGTTCTGTGGTTATATATAAACAACAAATGATTTGATGAGAGGAAGATGGTAGAGGAGGAGAGGAGATATAATAAGCAGAGTAAACAGCCTCATTTGTTTGTATTTTTATTCACTTATTTGTTTTGCTTTAGCGACTCTAGTAACTTAGATCAGATGTACAGATTGCAACAGCTAGAGTAAGTATCTAGTTCTCTACAGTTGGGACGAGATTCATGAACTAATCTGATAAAAGACCCCTTCAATTCCTTCCTGTTTTACATGTTGTGTTTATTACCATGTCCAATAGAACCATAATTTGCATTTTCTATCAAATCAAATCAGTGGCAGCTGAATGACATGGCCACTAATTAAAAGTCGAAATTGAATACAGCAGATTTGTTAGGCTGGAGAAACAAGAATAGGATTGTGTTATGTCCCATTGAAAGGCATGCATCATAGTTGTCTTGGTGGAGAGTTTTCACCAGTTAGTCTTCATCTGCAACTTTGTCTACATTTTCCACAGAATACTTCTGGAAACCAGTCACTTAGGTTGCTAGTAGCACTGTGCTCTGTGCTTTCTGTGAGATCAAAGAGGATTTATTATTTTTTTTTTTTGGCAACATAAGATGTTATAGCTTAGTAATCAAGAAATTGGGATTTGGAGTCATATCATCTAGTTTCTATCCAAAGTCTTCCCCTTGCTTGCTCAGTGACCTTGGTCTGCTTGTTTTACTTCTCTAACCATGTTTACTTATCTATAAAGTATAATAATAATAATATCTGCCTTACAAGGTTATTGTGAGGATTAAATAGTAATGTAAGTGTAAACCCAGGACTTGGCATATAGTAAGAACTTATTAAATATGAACTATTATTGTAACTTCACCTAAACTGGCTCCATTTTTTGGTACATTATCTGGGAACCGTGCTCCAAAGTCTTGATTTTATTACCTTCCCAATGACGATGAGGGCTGCCTTTCCTTTCTCTTTGCATATGTAGTGCATGGCGTGTAGAAAACTATTATAGCATAGAGAGTAGAAAGACTAAAATCTTATTTTCTAGTGTAAGTAACCTATCTTCTTCTTGTTTTTGTTCCTTGGTTTTGTTCAGGAAAGTCATAGGTTATTGTCAAGGTTTCAGATACCATGGTTGTAATTTAAGCTGCTGTAGGAAATACCATATCACAGGAGTAGATTGCAACCTTCTATCCCTAAGAAGATGCAGCATTCTCCAGTAGACTTAATGCCAGGAGCAACTCTAGAGTGTATCAACTCTAACTATCCCTGTTTCTCTTCCACTTAAATAAGTAAATTTTTATGTAAATCATCAAGAGTGACCCAATGAGAGGTTAGTCATTAAATCACTTAAAACTAATTTTAAGATCATTTTATATGCTATCATTTAACTATCGCTATTATCGTGTTATGAGATGACTAGACAAACTTTTCCAAGAAGTTTTTGAATTCTTCAAAATACTTCAGAGTCAACACCTTTATTTTTCACTTCCTGTCCACTTAGTCACCACTTACTATCCCCTCTCTGAAATTCTGTCCTCTTCGTTTGCATGTATTGTTCTGGTTCTTCCAACTCAGCCAAAACTGGTCTTTCAAAGACTGGTGGTGACTACAAGTCATCTGTCATCAGTCTTAATTCTCCTTATCTTCTAAGTAACTTTAAATATCGCAACTATTCCCTCCAAAAGTGTCTTTGCTTCCTTGGTTTTCTTGACTCCAAGAACTGTCCTTGTCTTCTGAGTAGGCCTTTAGCCACTCTGACACCAGTGAGGTGCCTCTTCTTTTCCTTCACCCCCATCTAGGTTGTCCCATGGATTTTTTCCTAAGCCTTCTTATTCTCTCTCCTGTTCTTCCTTCCTCAGTGATGCCATCTATTTCCAGTACCTTAGCCTTCATTATTATGTATATAACTTCCACTTATTTATCTCCTGGTTTACTTCTCTATCCAACTCTGATTCCATATTCCTAATACTGTTAGGTCATTTGAAAATCATTTGGCAGCTCAGATTCAGCATATCAAAAAAATTATCTTCCCACTAAAACCTACCCCTCATCATGTTTTTTGCTGGTGGCTATGACATGTCTCTTAAATCAGCTTAAAAACCTTTGAGTGAATTCTGATGCTTCTCCTTACCTCTGCTTTTCTTTTGTATCATTCTTTCACTTCAACAAAGCTGTTCAGTAGTGCCTATTCCTGCTTCTGACTGTCACTGAATCCAGCCATTTTCCTCTTCTTCTGAATGATATTGCCCAGCTATAGATGCACTAAGCAAATTGCACATGCTTCACTATCTGACAATGGAAAAGTGTGTAAAAATAATAATTACATTAGAAAGATATAGAAGAAAAGGCAGAGCATCCCAGGGAAGAGAGGACAGTCAAGCCTTTTTAAAAAGAGTGATATATGAGCCACATCTTGAAAGATGACTAGGAGTCAGATTAACAAAAAAAGAATGAACATTCCAGAAATAACAACATGTGTAAAGGAATGCAGGTCAAAAAGGCCGACTCATTACTGAAATGCAAGTAGCTCTATAGAACTGGAGCTCTGACTTCAAGGGGGATTAATTCAGGGGAAGGATAAGGTAAAACGCATTAGCTGTATGAGCAGAAAGGAGGCATTTAGTGCCTTGTTTCAATTATCTGTTTCTGTATGACAAACCCGTGGAAACTCTGGGCCCTAAAGTAAAAACAACCATTGCTTATTTCTCACAGTTCTTCAGGTGGGCAGCCATCCCTGGGGATAACCCATCTCTGGTCCGTGTGGTGCAAGCTGGCAGGAGGATCCTGCCTCCACTGGGCAGGAGGATCCAATATCCTCGCTTACATGTTTGGTGCTTCAGCTGAGGTGGCTGTGATATCCTGAGTCTTTTCCTTTTCACATGATATTTCAATATTCACTAGTCTATCTAAGGATTCTTTACATGGTAGCTGTCCTAGGAGGGCAAAAAGAGGAAGCAAAGCTTTTTAAGATTTACTCAGAAGTCTCGTGGCAATGCCTGTCACTATATTTATTGGTTGAAAGGAGTCACAAGACCAGCTCAGCATCCAGAGAAGGAGAAAGAGGCCCCACCTCCTTTCGCTTGGAGCAGCATTAATGAATGGGAAGAAATGCTGTCAGCCATCTATAAGGTTTCACTGTAGGATTTATAGCAGCACACTTATATTTTTAACCTTTTAGTTTAAAAATTTCTCTTTGATAACCTCATAAAGATTTAATTCAGGGGCTGGGAACCAGTGCCTAAAAATAGGGAAACCAATGAGGAGCCCATTCCAATGTTATATATTAACCTATGGAAAGTCTTTTCTGTGGGTGCATATGCCTTGCCACACTAGTTATTCCTCATGGAAGAAAATGGGATGAATAAAATGGGATTAATACTTTTTTTTTTAAAGAAAATATTATCAAGTTATTGCCAGGACTCTGGTGCCCCTTCCAGGAAGATGGATTCATATGTGCCCTGAGGAAGGAAATACATAACACTGCACACCCTCTGCCTGAAGCTTTTTTGTTTAGAGTGCTATTTCATGCTTATTTTATATACTGTTTCCATAAATAAACCAGGGAAGTAGGATGAGACTTTCAAGGAGGGCAGAGCCTGCTTTGTAAGTGCAGAGATATTTCTGTATCAGAGCAAGCGGGTCCATGTGACCATAAAACCCACAGGGATATTTTATTTCTATACAGAGTGACTTACCTCTACCATTGACTTACCTCTACCCCACTGCAGTGGTATACAGGGATGGTGCCTCTGGAAAAGCCTCAGAAAATATTCACAGAATTTGAAATATTTTATTACACCAACTCAGCCACTAAATTTTCTTCATGAATAACAACTTCAATGTGTAATCAATTGTAACTTGAGCTGAAGAAAACCAAGACTAGTGCTTGTTTATCAATGCTTCCTAGAGGAAACTGAGATCCAAATTCTGGAATGAAAAGGATGTGGTCCTCCTGGACTTTCAGGGATTTGTATAGCCCCTTCATCCCAGTGTTCCTGTATCCAATATTCTGATCTATAAAAACGAGTCTCCCTTTTTGGCATAAGAACTGGTGGATAAGCTTGGAATATGGCCCCTCTTAGTCAGTGTTAGGTGCTCTCTTGGGTCTCTGAACACTTAGTCAACACTTAGTCATTGGGCACCAGTATGACATTCATTTCCCCCACGGGCTCAGGTGCGGTGGCTGGATAATGGGATCACTCAGAGAATCTGGCCTCCAACCCCAGTTTTGCCTCTTCCTCCTTTATGTGACTGAGCAAATTCCTTATCCCCTCTAAACTTTGGTTTCTTCCCCTAAAACTTGAATAATAATTGTACTTTCCTCATAGGACTATTGTGATAGATTTTTTTTTTTTTAAATGTCTTTAATGAACTTAGCCCAGGCACTGGCACAAGTGTTCAAATAAATTTTCACTGTTATTGTTTAAGTGGACTTCCTGTTGACCTTTTCTGTGTTTCTCTTTATTTCTCAGGGAGATGCTAATCTCTGTTGCTCTGGGCCAAGTGTTATCCCTCCTTATTTGTGGAATTGGTTTGACCAGCAAGTACCTGTCAGAGGATTTCCATGCCAATACACCAGTCTTCCAGAGTTTCCTCAATTACATCCTTCTTTTCTTGGTCTATACCACCACACTAGCTGTTAGACAAGGTAAGCCTGCGAAAACATCAGTGATATAAGAGCCTGTTTTCTCTTTTTAAAACATCTAGAAGAATGATGAGCCATGAGTGGATAACTTTTTTTGACTTACAACATATTAAGACAATTCAAAACCCCAGATTTCACTTTTCTATTTTGCTGTAATACAGCAAACAAAATGAATGAGTACGTCACAAAGATTTATTCAAAGTTGTATGAATTCAGTGGGAAATTGGAAGTACATGTGTAGGCAAAATTGTACCATTTCTCACTATTTGAATTCCTATTAGCATTCTTTGTACCCCTCAGATATGTACACAGAGTGCACTTCTGGAGACAGGAACAGGCCTGGTTGCTGCTGTCCTAAATAACCTAAGCCTTGAGGAGTCCAAGAAAATTGCAAATATATGAGCTTTGAGAGAATGATGTGAGAAAGATAAAATAGTAAACACAAACAACCTGTAATAACAAAGGGAAAAAGAAAAAAAACTACCACAAATGGTCAGGTGAGGTGTTCTGTCCAAATTTTACATAGCTAAAGCAATAAAACAAGTCCTCAAAGAGTCATTGCTCAAAAAACATTTTATGGAGAATCTTAGGGACTTATCTCTGGAGTGTATTTTTCAGAGTCTTATGATTATATTACCAAATTTAGAATGAACAGTTATCTATGACCCAAAAATAGCCAACAATTTTCCCCGAATAGTAACTGTTGGCTGTAAATATGCATTGAAAAATAATTATTAACAGGTTGTACCTTTAATAATAAATAAAGGTACATACAAAACTATAAATATGAATCCTAATGGTCATGCTTTTTTAGAACTCTTCTAAGAACTACTTATCAGTGTTTAATTTTTACATCTCCTTATTTGGATTGTCATCCAATATAATACTGCCTGACGAATATGATTTGGTTCGTACTAGGTTTGCTCTTAAGAGAGAGAATGAAAATAAACAAGTTGGTACTGAAATAGCAGTTTAACTTTGGATTTATTTAAAGTATTAGAAAAGCTCATTTCATTTACTTCTCAAAAATTGTTATTATTGGTGAATTTTTCTGAAACTTAGTATCAGTATTCATAGTTAATTTAAGAATATAATTTCAACTAATACCTCAGATTCCAAAATTTACAGATACTGATTTTCAGCTTTATTCCCTCAGTGTGTTTTGGAAGTTTATGATTTTGAACACAATAAATGCTGTCTCTAAAGGTTATGTCCACTATTTTACCCTTGGTGCCTCAATGAAGGAAAGGACTCCTGCAGTGAAGAAATGAGAGAGAGATATATTTAGAAATTCAGTTATGAATCACTGGTGACATGAGGAATGTATAGTTTGGCCATATCAAGAAGAGAGCTAAGCAATTTAACTTAAAACTCACTTGGTGAAAGTTTGAAGCACAACTTAGAATTATTAAACAATAGAATCATTTGGCCCAGTGAAAGAGTATAATTAAAAATTATAAAATTGACAGCAACTTTGCAAGATTCTAATTTTTACTTGAAAAGCATTTTTTAATTATTTTTAAAAAATATTTATTTATTGGGCCTCCCCGGTGGCGCAGCGGTTGAGCGCTGGGTTGCGAAGCTGCTCGCAGCCTCTGCGGTGCCGGTTCAATCCCCGGCTGCTCCCCGGACACCGGGGGAGGGTCCCACATGGCGCGCAGACCTCTCCTGCCGCCCGCTGCTCCCCTCAGCAGTGTACTTCAGTCCTTCTGCCTGCTCTGCTCCCCGCTCTGGCTCTGGTGAATTCTCTCACCCTCCCGAGCTTCTGACTGTACCCAGTGCTTGTATAAATAAATAAATAAATAAATAAATAAGTCTTTAAAAAAAAAATATTTATTTATTTATGCCTACAAGAACTGTGTTATAGGCCAGAGGTGCAGGGGCGAGAGGATTCACCAGAGACAGACTGGGGAGCAGAACAGGCAGATCTACTGAAATCCACTGCTGAGGAAGCAGCAGGTGAGACAGGAGAGGTCTGCTTGGCCATGTGGGTATCTCCCCAGCCAGCCAGGGATTGAACTCATGTTGCAGAGGCTACAGATAGCTTCATAATGCTGTGCTTAACTCCTTGCGCTACCACGGGGGCCCTTTTTTTTTTTTAAATTAAGATAACATTAATGTGTTAAGACATGAGCATCAGAAATGCAGGCTCATCTCTCTTCAGGTGTATGTTACAGTACCACATCCAGATTGTAATATTACCCCCCCCAAAAAAGGGTGCATAAAAGTGGTGAATTTATCTAGAGATTTTAAAAACCAAACAGCCTGTACTATAAGACGGAAAATTATAAGTAGTATTTGGGTTCTTGTCCATCTTCCTTTACTAGAGTCCAGCAGTTTGACAAAACCTGTATCAGGAAAACAATAATATCAAGTTGTTACAAGAAACAATGATTTTATGGTTACATGTAGAGACAGAAAGCTTGGAAAACTAAATGCAACAAAAGACAGAGGTTAATAATGATACCTTCAATTTAGCCTTAATATGCCAGCCTCTATGTATGTGAATGGTCTCTCTCATTCTTTCAATCAAGGCAATATTATTATGGTCCACAGTTTTATAAATAAGAAAACTGAGCCTCCACCAGCATCAGAAAACTGATCCAGGCTATAAAACTCAGAAAAGTAGAGGCCTATTATAGACCAAAACTGTGTGCTTTCCTACCCTTGACTCTCATGTAAAGTCCAGGGGAGGCAGGCGGAGAGGGCTTATACACTTTTGAACAAAAAAGAGGGTTCACCCTTGAATTTTAAAATTCCAAATAAGAAGCCAGCCTTGGGTGCAAGGTCTAGTGAGGTACAACAAAGATATAGGAGAATGTGATCATAAATGAGGTCAGGCTAGGTGGGCAAGGGAGAGGCACAGCAGGAAAGATTCAAGGACTAAGAGTAGCAAGATTCAAGGACTAGGTCAGGCTCTTTGGAAAGAACATTTGGAAGGAGGGCCTTAGGAAATTCTGTCAATCCCAGTCAGTGATGCAAGAATCAATTTCTAAAATGTCCTATCTGTAGATTTTGCCATTTCCTCAGATTATCACTAAATTTGCCGGTATGTCTTTATTTAGATGTTTATGTAGAATGTTTGTTTGTTTTAAGCTTCATCTTTAGAAGTTTTAATAGTCTGGCATTAAGCTAACATCTGGAAATCAACATAGTAATTACATTAATTTTGTATAAGCTGATTCAGTACTATGCTCGAGAGACATAATAATCTCTTTCCACCTGCACCTCAAGGTTTGAGAGGGAATAAGCAACAGAGTAAAGAAGAGAGCGGGAGAAAAGTGAGGGAAGTGCTCTCATAGCCACAGCTTCTCTTCTTTCCTGGTGCTCCCTACCCAGTCTCCCCAACGACTGCAGTTTAGGACTGAGCAAGGTGGCCATCTTCTCTGTTCTCCCAGCCTAGACATCCCTTTGCCTGCCAGGTCACCATGCTAATATGAAGAGACCTTAGGCCACACAACAGTAAGAAATTAGACTCGGGAATGTATTTCTAAAACAAATCTAATTTTTCTGATTTTAATCATGCAACTTCTAAAGTGGCTCTTGTATGTTAACATAATATGGTAGATGCAAGAAACCATGGTTGAGGTTGTTCCAAAAGCCTTGTCAGGTCTTGACAACAAAGTTAAACTGCATTCTTATATCAAATTTGCAATGGACTAATGATCAAAGACTCTGAAGCAACAGTTTTTAGTATAATCCCAATTTAAACTGGAGGTTTGAACTTTATTCTTCCTCCTTAAAATCATTGTATCTTGTCAAACAAATATCACCTACTTCTGAGTTAGAAATAGATTTTCTTCCAGATAGTTCTAAAACTCAAAAATTCATTGTTGTCATAACAAGCTTTAGTAATGCAACTTTGTAGAAAAAATGGACTTCAAAAAACTTTTTCCATTGACATTGTATTCAAGTTAGGTGTATTCAAGTTTGGTGAAATTCAATTTAGGTGAAATTTAGATAGTTTTTACTTCAATAAGTCCATTGAAACTACTTTGAGAGGTTATTCAGGCAATTTAAATGTACCCATTAAAGTAATTCCTAAAATCCAAACTCAAGCTGGATGTACAAAGTAGGGTTTTGGGAACTATAAAGAAAACCTCACTCTGTTGTGTCTTTCCTTTACTCTCATATTGCTACCACACATAACCATATTTCTGACCCACGTGAATTACACCAAGTAATTCTGCCGTATCACTTGGGCACCCTACAACTTAACTCAACTCTGCTGCTTTCTTCCTGGAGACAGCATCAGATTGCACACGTTAAGGACTCGGTTCTGCAAAGAGTCCATTCAAGTGCCTATCTAAAGTTCAGGCTGTGCTTCTCACCAATTAGCTATAAATCAAAATTTCCCACAACCCCTTCTCTGGTTTGATTAACTTGCTCAAGAGCCTCAGGGACTTAGGAAAAGAGTTTACTTACCATTTTTTAGTGTAGTGTAAATGGATTTGATAAAAGATATGGAAGAACTTCCAGATTGAAGGGATGCAGAGGTCTAGGGATAGGGGAAGATCAGGGAGTTTCTTTGCCTTCTCCAGGCACATGGTTCTCCCAGCCCTTCATGTGTTTGCCAACATGTCAGCTCTCTGAAAAAAACACTTTTCGGGTTTTTATGAAAGTGTCTTCACATTGGCATCATCTATCATTATCTCCTTTTCTAGCCCCTCATCTTTCTCAGAAGAATGGGGTGAGTGCTGAAAATTTCAAGCTAGCCTTGGCTTGTTCTTTCTTCTAACCATCGCACATTCAGGACCCCCACAAGAGTTGTTTCACCAGAAAAGAAGAAATTGCTCTCACTCAGGAAATTCCAAGTAATTTAGGACTCTGTGTCAGGACCTAGGGTCAAAGATCAAATATTAGAACAAAAGATGCTCCTAATACTCTTATTATTTAGGAATTATAAAAGTTTTAAGAACTCTCTAGGGATATATATTTTTTCCTACTATTTTATTAAAAAGATAACTAACAAAGTATAGTGGAGTGTCTAAAAACTGAGGGAT